GTCCATTGCTGGAACCACTGTGCTAATCTATTTCTTTGAGGATCTTCTTCTTAACCCCTACCCCTCTTCCTTACCAAGTTTTATGGAATGTCTTCTCCTGATAATTCTGCAATGTGTCAGGTCTGACCATCCTCAATTCTGAAGAGAGCTCTCTGGCTACACTGCTTCCAAGGCAGATTTGCTTATTCTCTGGGCAGTTCCTGGTACATCCACTGTTCTGCACATTTGCTTATTCTCTGGCCAGTCCCTGGTATATCCACTGTTCTGCACGGAGAGAGTAATTCAAAGGTATCAGTGCTTATGTTTGTCCTTCTTCATCGTCCAGTTTGAGCTCTGGTGGCCTAGTGGTAAGAACCTGCGCTGCAATCCTGAATGTACGTGGTTCGAACCCACCAGCTGCTCTGTGGGAGGAGGGACAGTTTTCTCCACTGCAGTTAACTGCCTCTGAAAACCTGCTGGAGGGTCAGCTATGAGTCATTTCTGACTCGACAGTACAAAACAACAATACCATGCACAGTATAGGTAATACTAAGGATCAGGGACACGGTAGTCCTCAAAGGGACATCCTGTTCCTTAGTAGTTTAGAGTGATCCCTTGCAGCAGATTTACCCAGTATAATTCATTGTTTGATTTCTCTACTGCTGCTGCCATGGACATTGTTGCTCCAAGTAAAAGGAAATCTTTGACAATTCTAATTTGTCTTTGCTTCTCATGATGTTGCTTATTGGTCCAGTTATGAGGACTTTAATGTGTGTGCTTCATCAAGAACTGTTCTATATTTTCACCAATTAAGAGTGTGTCTTTCATATAATGCAAGTTGGTGATAGCAGTGTAAATGGTTTGAAGCCACCAGCTTTTCTGCTGGAGAAGGATGGGCACTATGCAATTTACAGCCTCAGAAAACCCGCTGGAGGGTCAGCTATGAGTCAATTCTACCTTGATGGCAGTGAGGTTTTTTAGTCTGAATTTATGTTAATGAGGAGAGCACAAATCAGAAGCACAAGAGGATAATAGTTCTACAATTCAAAAGATGTATTTGACGTCAGTAAATTGCACGCATGGAGAGAAAAAGACAGCTAGATATCAATTCAAGAACTATTGTGATTGCATCTCAAATCTATCTGTTGCTGAGAAGAGAGCTTAGTTCAGAGTAAAACGCCAGAAGTGAGATTCTAAAGACTGGTGTTTATTGAAGGATCAGTAACATGAAAGCAGAACAGACCCAACAAATGGAGTGGAAATTGACAACAACGGATAAAGATGATGCAGAATCAAAGACTTCCGAAAAAGCGGAAAACAAAAGCTCTAAGTGCCTGGATGAGGCAAATACTGGCAGAGGGCTTTCTGTGAACCCAAAGGGAATATCAGTGAGGATGTTGCGAGTCAACTCAGGTGACAGCAGGCTGGCTCCAGGGCCACGCGTGTGTGCAGATTCATGCATATTCATGTTCACAGCTATCCCTGGAACATAGAGGGAGAGGTAGGAGAACAATTCTGATCCTCCCACTGAAAGGAATTGAAACTTAGCTATTAAGGTGGTTTCCGCATCATCTTAGCACAGCGGTGCCAAGAAAAATCCCTCCCCCAGTAAAATAAAGATTCGTTGCCCATTTTCAGACCCATGGAACGTGATTGAAGCTTTTTCGGGCAATCCAGTCATTGCCTAACTATATTTAATTTTGTGAAGTGGGAAGGAAGAGACACAAATGTCCATACTAATGTCTCATCATACAGTTTATACAGTTTGGCTTCCTCATAACCAGTCGGCTCTTTTCAAATGCGCATTCCAAAATTTACATATCACAGGGGGTCTTGGCCTTCCAAACGGTCACACTGGAAAGCAATATAATTACCTTCATGTTTCTGCAATTACTACAAACTTTGACTGCTCCCTGCAGATAATTACGGGTTATGGGGGGATAAGGAAGCAGTTACTTAGTCACATATATTTATTGAACACCTACAATACGCCAGGCACTGTGCGACCTATCAGGATCTTAAACAGCGGCAAGACCTACGCTGGGGCTGAGGAACCAGGTCTTACTGTTTTATTGACCCAAAACGCCATTATCAAGCATGGTTATCCACACTGCTTTGTTCACAACCAAGGTGGTTTCCCCAAAACAGACCTGCCCTCCACGAATCAAAGTGTGATAGTACTCAGGCTATTCAAAATTAATTTCTATCTTAAACAATGAGCCATTCTCAAATAGAAATTCTGTAAGGTGTTTTGCCTATGGAATAGTTCTTTAACTTCCCAGGGGTCCACTTCATGGGGAGAGAGATAGCGCATTCTTAAATAGCAACGTTTTAATAAGTTTAACCATTTCTTTTCCTTTTTAAAATGTATTTTCAATCAAGTATCTAATCTGATAACTGACTGCTCCCAAGTCAATTCCAACACGTGGTGAACCTCCATTGGATTTCCTAGGCTCTAAACCTCTTTGGGGAGCTCTAATGGCTTAGTGGTAAGAAGTGACACTGTCAACACAAAGGCTCCCAGTTCAAATCCACCAGCTGCGGCATTGGAGAAAGATGAGTAATCTCCTCTTCTGTGATTTGTTATTGTTGTTGTTATGTGCTGTCGAGTCACCTGCGACTTGTAGCGACCCTATGTGCAGCAGCTCTGAAGCCTGCCCTGTCCTGAGCCAGTCTCACTGACTCTGACATACCTAATCCTACTGCCCCTGTTACCATGTCAATCCTCATCTGGGATCATCCTCTTCTCTGCTGTCTTTCCACCCTTCTGAGCATGATGTCCTTTTTCAAGGATCAGCCCCTCCTGGCCACAAAGTATGTGAGACAGAGCTTCAAAATCCTAGCCACTAAAGAGAAACTTGTTATAACCCTCTGCAATACAAACCTGTTTATTTTCTTGGAAGCCTATGGTATGCTCAAGACTCTTCTCGAGCACCAAAACTCAAAAGTATTGATTCTTCTTCTGTCATCCTTAGTCATTGTCCAACTGTTTGATGCATAACAAGTAATTGCAAAGACCATGGCCTGAATCAGGCGCACCTTAGTGTCTAGACTGACATCGTTGTTTTCAGGTACTCTGGAGAGGTTCCTGACAGCAGATTTTCCCAGTGCAATTTGTCTTTTGATTCCTTCACTGCTGGTACCAAAAGTGTTGATTGTGGAGCTGAGCAAGCTGTAATTGTTAACAACCTCAATCCCTTCTCCATCTGTCATAATGCTGCCAATTAGCCCAGTGGTGAGAATCTTTGTTTTCTTGATGCTGAGCTTCAATCCATATTGAAGGCTGCAGTCCTTGACCTTCTGCAGCGAGTGCTTCAGGTCCTCCTCAGTTTTAGTAAGCAGGGTTGTGTTATCTGTATAACGTAGATTGTTGATGTGTCTTCCTCCAATCCTGATACCACATTCCTCCTCACAGAGCCCACCCTCCCAAATTATTTGTTTGGCATATAGATTGAAAAGGTATGGAGGCAGGATTTACTGGAGGGTCAGCTATGAGTGAATTCTGAATCGATGATACACAAGAAAAAAAACAGTAGTAGTATTCCATTGTATGAGTATACCACAGCTTCTCTATCCATTTATTTGTTGCTGGACACTCGGGTTGTTTCCAACTCCTTGCTATTGTGAACAAAGCCACAATAAACATGGGTGTGCATGCTACTGACCTTTTGGCTGGCAACACAATACATAACAAGCTCAAACTCATTGTTCTTGGATTGGAACCCACTCATATCTGCCCCTCCAGTGGGTTTACAGAGGCTGTAAACCACACAGATTGCCCGTTTTATGATCCAAACCACCAATATTTGGGTTGTCAGCACAACTCCTTACCCACAAGACCACCGGAGCCCCCTCATACTCTAAACCACACCATCAACCCTAGCTGTTGATGACCCTCCATTGAGTTTCTGAGGCTGTAGACCATATGGGAGCAGAGATTCACACCATCCACCTTTGAGTTAACAGCCCAGGAGGTAACCCACTACTAACCATCACTCCTTCACTCACTGCTGCCAAGTCAATTCTGATTCCACCAGGATTCCGAGACTCTGAAGGAGTCCTGGTGGTGCAATAATTAAGTACAAAGCTACTGAACTAAAGGTTGTGGGTTCAAGTCTACACGCGGGCTCTGTGGGAGAAAATGAGGCTGTCTGTTTTCATAATGGCTAAGATCTCTGCCTGTGTTTTTAAGTCAGTTTTCCTTTAAAGGTCACTGTTGTTGTTTGCCTTCAAGTCAGAACTGACCCACAGCTGACCCTCCAGCAGGTTTTCAGAGGCATTAAATTACACAGGAAGAGTTTGCCAAAGAGATTGCCTATCTTTTCCCCATCGAGCGCGTGGACATAAACCACATGCTTTGAGGATTGCACTGCAGCTTCTTACCACGAGGCGACTAGGGTGCTGTCAAATACGTTCTGACTGCTAGCAATTCTATGTACAGTAGAACAAAACATGCCAAGTCCTTCGTCGTCCCCGCAATCCTTGCTGTGTCTGAGCCCCTTGTTGCAATTATTCCAACAAGCCTTCTTGTTAAGGGTCTTTTCTGCTGACCTCTACCCTGCCAGCATGATGTTTTCTCTAGAGACGGGCCCATGGTGATAGTGTGTGCTGCTGGACTCAGAACATCTCAGTCAGACAGAGCAGAATGGCCGCCAGACCTTCCGAGACTGCAGTCTTTATGAGATCAGAGTCAGAAGCTCAGCACTAAGTTAATGTACCACCAGGACTCCTTTCCATAAAGATTACAGCCAAGAAAACTCAATGAAGTTCTCCCCTGTACCCTAACCCTAACCCTAACCTAACGCTAACCCTAATCTAACCCTAACCCTAACCCTAACCCTAACCCTAACCTTAACCTTAACCTTAACCCTAACCTTACCCCTAACCCTAATCCTAATCACTGAGGCAGAATCAACTTGACAGCCTCCTGTAACAGCAGGGCACACACAGGGAGAGCTCTTCCACAACCCTGAGAGTGTACAGGACCCCACTAACCTGCTGGTGTTTCCTCCCCTCCCCAGGATCCTCGGGAACCGGGTCGCTGAACTGGAGAAAAAATTAAGAACTCTGGAAGTTTCTGGTTTGTGGAGTCTTCCGGGTAAGCAAAACTTCAGAAACACTGTTTTCTGTAATGCCAGCTCCCACGTAGTATGACCAGCAGTTCCTGCCTTTTCAATGTCCTTTTATTGGAAGATTTTTAAAATCTCTGAGAAACCTACAAGCACTTCAGACTTCTGGGATAAAGCAGGAAAGTCAGTACGCACACTCCTCCTCGTAGAACAGTGATTCCCTGTTAACGTAAATTTGGGAATTTTCCTTGTATGTGTCTATGTAATAATTTTTTTAAAAAAAACCTTTTGTGAATGTAGCATGTTGTTTCCTTTCTTTTTCCTCAATCCACATTATAAATATTTGCTCTGTTTAGCCATCATTGCCAGCAATGAATATAGATTTGCCCATTTTAACACGTTGCCACACACCTTAAAGGTGACAACTGTGCTTAGAAACACATTTTTTTTCAATTGTTTATGACTGCCATATGAAATTGAGTGTCAGTCATATGTTTGGAAGTGAAAATTAATTAAAATGTGCAGGACGGCTATAGCCGTCATTTTCAGCAACATGTTAACTGTCAGGACAAAACAAATGTGTGTGTTGTTCACATTTTGCAAATTCAGTTCCCACACTACCCACTGTACCTGTTCAATTCGGCTACCTGTTTCTCCTTTCTTTCCCATTTAGAAAAAAATCAAAATATCCTGTGGAGGTTTTCCTTCCACTGTGGTGCGGGGGCAAATCTGTTGTTTGGCTTTAATTAGCTATATTTATCGCGTTTGTCTTGGTAAAATACCCCCTTTCGTGAGACCACTGTCAGCTCTTGCTTTTGTCTCATACACTTTTCAGAAACTTATATTTATCATTTTCCACCCCCTCCCCTTTCCCCGGGAGCAGCCCTGTACATATATTTTTAGTTACTTAACCTTTCTGCACAAGCCAGTCTCCTCTCCCCTGGAGTCAGCGCGCCTGCTCCCCTGGAAGGCGTGATGAATGGAAATTGCCACCAGGAGGTGGACAGCGGACACCAGGCCTGCTGCACGGGGCTCTGAATGGCCGCCTTCAGTGCGTGTCACGGTTTGGAATTTGCAGTTGGCAACTCGCCTGCCTTGAACTTCATGTCAAAAGACACCACAGAACCAATCAGTGGCGAGTGTCTGTCCTGGGGATTCCAGAGAGCCACTTTGCAGAGCCTTATCTGCACATGAAAGCCTTTCTTTTATTGCTATTGATTTCCACACAAGCCAGCCTCTTCATTCTGCAGCCAAGTGGCCATTTCTCTGGTTTTCACTAGAGCTGTGTTTGGGAGTTTCCCCTCAAACTTGACTCAGTGGGATTTCTCTGTGTTTTCTTTCTGTAACTCATGCCCTGGTAGGGAGCCCTGGTGGCAGAGTCCATAGAAAGTCGTAATGCTAACGCGAACATTGTGGCTCTCTGGTGGTTCGAATCCACTGGCCACACTTTGAAAGAAAGATAGCAGTCTCCTCATACACAGTTTATAGTCTCAGAAAACCCCTGGACGGTCCGCTGTGAGGAGGTTCTGATACAGTTGGTAATGAGAGTTACAACTCCAGTAGCATGGTGGATTAAATGTTGAAATGCTAAACAAAAGGTCCGCAGTTCCAAACCACCTTTTGCTGCACAGGAGAAAGATGAGCAGTAGCCTTCCATAAGGGAGCTCCAGTGGCCTAGTGGCAAGAAGCTGCACTGCAGTCCTAAAAGCACGTGGTTCGAGGCCACTAGCTTCTCCGGGGCAGGGGCAAAGGTTGGACAATCTCCTTTGATACGATTAACAGCCTCTGAAAACCCACCAGAAGGTCAGCTATGGGTCAGACCCCACCCTACAATACACAACAACAGGCTCCCAGTAAGATTTACAGCCTCAGAAACTTAGTAGGCAGTCCTCCTCCCTTCTCTGGGCCCACCATGAGTCGGGAACTGCTTGATGTTGTGAGTTATGTAAGATGTATGTGAGCACAGCGGTTGACGCACGCAGCTGCTTTACCTGAAACATCAGCTGCAGAAAGCTAAGACAGTCTACTTCTGGAGAAATGGAGAGACTTGAAATCCTGCAAGGCAGTTCTACATTGTCTTGGGGGGTTGCTCTGAATCAGGATTGATTTGCCAGCAGGGTTGGGGTTCAAATAAAAATACAGACATTGAGGAAGTGTGTGAATGCTGAGAGTTTCCTAGATCCGTCTAGGTGAGCCATTGCATGGCGGTTACACAATAAGACTTCTCTTTCCTCTCTTTTTTGCTGCCCGAAGGCCTGAGCTACAATGTATCAGTGGGATTTGGGAGTACGTTCTGTTTGCAATATCTTCTCGTGGCTCTGTTCAGCAGTGTGCCGACATCATTCATCCCTGCATGCAAACACATGGGCACGCATTATCCCTGTATCCTTGAGCTTTTCTGATGAGCACGGTCAAGTCAAATGGAGAATTCAATTAGTGCAAAGCAAATATTCATGGGGGACACTGGCTTTGAGGGATGAGATCGGATAGATTTTATGCCTCAGCCACGTTTGTTCCAATTCCTGGCCTTCACAGGGTGCAAAGTGGGAGGACAGGAGAAGGGGTGGCAATTCCCCACGTCACGTAGTTGATGTGCTGTGATGGGGAATGTTAGAATGAAGCAACATCAATGATACGTTCAAGCCGAGGTGGGAGTGAACAGGGATGGGGACACTTCCCGTGTAAATCAGATCAGTCCCTCCCACGTGCTCAACACTTCTCTGAACGCCATTGAACCTGCTGCATGGAGAGTAAGAGGAAACATGTATTATTGTTCTTCCTCTTCCTCCTCTTCCTCCCTGCCTCCTCAACATGGGAGCCCAGTAAGGCCCCTGGTTATCGTACATAGCTTGTACTCATCTACTGACCTAAAGTTTGGCAGATCAAACCTACCCAGCAGCACCACAGAAGAGTGGGATGTTTGCTTCTGTTAAGAGTGTTGTTGTCAGATGCCATCAAGTTGGCTTCAGTTCGTAGGGACCCCGTGTACAGCAGGACAGACCCCTGTCCGATCCCGCATGGTCCTCTGCCCTCCTCACAATCTCTGCTCTGCCCATGCCCACTGTTACAGCTACACTGTGTGAAACCACCTCATCGAGGGTCTTCCTCTCTGATGACAATGTCCGTCTCTGGGGACCGGTCCCTCCTGATAGCAGGCTGAAAGCTGTCCACTGTGAGTGACCCTGCTGGTATTTGAAATGCTGATTACATAGCTTCTAGCATCCCAGCAACACACAAGCCACCGCAGTCTGACGAACTGTTGTTAGTTGTCATCAAACTGAAACCAACTCTTGGTGATTGTGTGCTCACAGTGGAAATGTTCCATAGGGTGTTCAAGGCTGTGGGCTTTTGGAAGTAGATGACCAGGCCTGTCTTCCAAGGCTCACACACACAGAGAGAGAGAAAGAGAGATATTTCTTTTATAGAATTGGCTCATAGATTGACACAGTAACTGAGATGATGGAATTAAGTGTATTGGCATCAGAGAACCTGGCTCAGAATAGGGCAGACTTCAGAGCTGTTGTACAGAGGGTCGTTATGAGTTGTGGCCAATTTGATGGCACATAACAACAATTGTGGAAGCTAGAAAACCCAAAATGTCTTAGGTTTGGTGACAGACAGACTGAAAGCTTCAGCTTGTTTATTTCCGTTCTTGAAACAGGCTCTGTCTTCCCCAGAACACTGCCATTATTGCTCATGAAGCTTTCAAGTGATTGGATGAGGTCTAATTAATGGAGGATGATTCGCTCACTTAAGCCAACACATCACAATGCTAATCACATATAAACACCTTCAGAGCAACACCTAGACAAAGTGTTCAACCCAACATTGAACCCCAATCGCCTAGCCTAGCCAAGGCTAGATTAACCATCCCAGAGCCTCCTCCGATGAGCCAACCCAGCCACGTGTTGGTAACATTTGAGCACTGACTTCCTAGACTGTATGTAGCCTGGAAGGTTTCTGGAGTTTTCCCAACATGAGCAACAGCTGTGCTGCACAGAACTGCAGGGCTGGCTCGGCCAGGTTTCTGCTCTCCTGAGTTGACCCACAGTAGCAGAGAAATCGGGGTGCTGAGCTTGCTGTTTAGACGCCCAGTGGAGGAGCTGTATGTATGGCTCTCTTGATTCTTTAAGGAAGGAGTTGATTACCTCAACACAGACACCATCTTGTGCTCTGCTGAACCTGAAACATGCAAGTTTAGGGCCCCTAATCAGAGACTTAGAGATGGCTTAGTGGTAGAATGTTTGCCTTTTATGCAGGAGACCCAGGTTAGACTCTTGGTCAGACTTTTGGGCAATGCATCTCATGCATGGCCACCACCTGTTGGTGTTTTTAAGCTTGAGGGATGCAACAGTTAAGTCCTTACCTGGTAACTAAAGGTTGGTTGTTTGAACCCTCTCAGTGGCTCCATGGGGGGGGGGGGGAAACGCCTGTTTTTTGGAAAGAGAAAAGACTCTGTTTCCGTAAACATCCCAGCCTAGGAAACCCAGTATGGTAGTTCTCTCTGCTTAGTCACGTGGGACACCATAAGTCATACATCTCTTCAGCTGTACCTGACAAGAACAGTAACACCCATTAATAACATGCTCCATCTGCCTGAGGCAGCGGCAAGCACTGTGGTCCTCCAAGATGTCACGATTCCCAAGGAGGCATTAGCCTTTTGTTAAGACGTTCCTCAGCTATTTATGGAGCACATACCATTTGCCAAGCTCTTTGCTAAAGTCTGGGAAATCAGCATTAATAAGACATGGCTCCATGGGAAGACAGTAATATAAACTAACAGAAGTGGCCAAGAAGCACGACGATGCCAGGTTCACCTGGGTCTTCAAGGAATGAGAACTACACAGAACAGATACCATGTTGTGTGCTGGTGAACCTGAAGCACAGAGGGTTGGAGCCTCTGACCAGAGCCCTAGAGGGCAGTGGTGGCTTGGTGGTCGGGTTCTTGCCTTCCATGCGGGAGATCCAGGTTAGATTCCCAGCCGGCACCTTCATGCACAGTCTGTCAGTCAGTGAAGGCTTGGGTGTTGCTATGATGCTGACCCAGTTTCAGTGGAGCATCCAGGATCTAGCTGAGTAGGGAGAAAGGCCTGGCAGTTTACTTCCAAAATTCAGCATCCCCCCACCCACCTACCCCAACCCTCTATAGATCAAAGCCATTTAATTTGCAATAAATAAAGGGTCTGAGACCAGGCAACACCTTGTCACTTGTATGTGAGCCCGCCATATTGGAGCCAACTCCATGGCATCTGACAGCAGCAGTCAGAGCTCCAGAGACATTTAGTAGTTTGGCTGCGTGCAAGTTTAGAAAAAAGTCAGACAGCAAGACTGGACCACAGTTGAGGCCATGGTTCTCTGGAGCTTTTGTTACTGGCATGGCACTCCCCACCAAGACAGTCTTTGAAGCCACGGGCCAAAATCTGTGGCCAAATCCTGCCTGCTTGACTCTCTTGATCAGTTGAGACAGCTTCACTTCATGTCTCTGTGTTTTTTGTCTCTGTGTCTGTGCTTGTGATTCGCATGTGTCAGCACCACACTTCTCTCCTTCCCACCTCCAAAACATGTCATGGCCTCCAAGGTGAACCTCACTGAATTTTCCTCTCTCCTATCTCTGCACTAGCTTTCTGTTGTCCTCTTAGGAAGCTCATAGTATTAGCATGAGATCATGTCCTACCTGGAAGTTTTAACTGTGATGATTTGGGACACCCGACCCTGCCCACCTTGTAACAGCATTGTTATTTAGTCGGAATGATTAACTTGAATTCAATCAGCTAGAGTATCTATCCCAATGCTATTTAAACTATGAAGTTGTGGTTTCAAAGAGTGGCAATTACTGAGTGCCAAGTAGTCTAAGTGAAGTGATTCAATGCATTTCACCCTGAACAACCACCTCTTAAAATAGGTGATGTTATTCTTCTCCATTTGACAGATGAGAAATCTGAGTCCTAGAGAGACTAAGCAATTTGCCCAGGGTTACTCTGCCAGCAGGAAGCCGAGCAGCATCCACTTCCTAAACCACATGCTTCTGGAAACTCTATGAACTTTGATAGATGATGATAGTCATAGAAAGGCTTCAGGCCTTTTGTTCACAGGGTTGCTGTGAGTTGTGCTTGACAGGATGGCAATCGATAACAACAACAACAACAGCAGTTCAACCAGCAAGTGGTGGAGACCAGAGCACAGTCACTCCAGTGTGGTTTCAGAGTCCACACTGCCAGCCAGTCTGCTGTTGTTAACTGTTGTCATTATCTCTGATTGAAACCACGTCTTGTCCAGGCCAGCATGCTAGGGTCACCCTTTACTGGTGACATTTGCAGGCAACCATATCGCAGCAGGACTCTCAGAAAGGAGTCAGCCAGGCTTGGATCCTCCTTGCTTCATTTACACACTAGAGAGAGAGGGCCCACTCAGTGTGAAGAAGCACATTGTGGACTCAAGCCCAAGTGAATTGTGTGGTAGGAAATGTAGCCACAACTCCACAGATGACGTGTTATGTCCATTTTCCCTCTTCCATGACAGGAGGCAAGGACACCATACTGTTCAGTGACCCCACTCTGCCCGCCATCCAGAAGTCGAGGTCTCCACTGACGAAACTCACTGAGCAGCCCACCGAGAACTCAGTGAGTCCCAAGGATGGTAAGCACACCTCCATTTCTTCTTCTTTGCCTACCACGTGCTGGACACACAGTAGGGGCCCGGGGGGACCTGGCCCTTCCCCTTCCTGGAGCTTCTGGGGCAATCCCTCACCTTTCCTCTTGATGCTTACATGGCTATGGCTTGCTTGAAATTCCAGCACAAGGAAGCATGTTCTTGGCATAAGATGTGATGAACAGTGAAGGCTCATAAGTCAGACAATACTGGGTACAGATACCTGACCCTCATTTTACCACCAGTAAAAACTTGGCCTTACACTTCCTTGCCCCTGCTTATAAAATGATAGCCCAGTTTCCATGAAAGGGTGTCACACTGCCAGGCATGCAGTAACTGTTCTGTGACTCAGAATTTCTCCATTGCCAAGCAGGGTGTTTTGAAAGAGATTGAAAGTCTCCTTAAGGTGCCAGATGAGTCAACAAATGTGAAAGCCAGATTCCTTCTCTGGAGGTCTTATTCCCCTGACAAAACCACCGTTCACATCTTTCAAAGTTTCACTGTCTTCTCCATCCACCTTCAGTGTGGTAGCCTGTTTCCAGGTTGCCTACCAGTGGTCTTCCTCTCCCACTTTTCATACCCTTGTGTGGTCCCTTCCCACGCTGAATCAGGTTAGTCTTTGTGACTAATATAAAGAATGGTATGCACCTTGCAAAGATACTGTTGTTGTTGTTGTTGTTGTGTGCCGTCGAGTCATTTGCTACTCATAGCGACCCTATGTACAACAGTCCTAAACTCTGCTCTTATCCTGTGCCAGTCGCACTGCCTCTGACACACCCACCCTGATTACCCCAGTGACTGAATCAATCCACCTCATAGAGGGTAAAGATGAGTCATGGTAAACTCAACAGCACCTCACCACAAGAGGTGTACCTTTCGAGGCTAGATCGTAGAGGACTTTGTCTTCCTTTGCTGTTGAATTGTCTGTTTGTGAGGAAGCCATCGGGTGTGTCATGAAGATACCCAGACAGCTCGTCATGCTCTTCATGTGGTGTGGTGCTGAGACCTCCTGCCATCTACTATCTGAATGAATTAATCTGGAGACGTCCACCCATACCACTAAAGCCTGCAGGTGATGACACGCCCGGCCCACGTCTTGATGGCAATCATGCCAGAGAGAGACACTGGGTCCAAACCACCCAACCAAACCACCCCCACCACCACCCCACCACCCCCGGAGTACTGAGTCATACGTTGCTAGGGTTTGAGGTCATTTGTTAGGCAACAGTCTAGAACTATTACACTCAAGGTGTGAGTGAAGTTAATTACTTGGACGTGTACATTTTCTTTTTTGCTCAGGATCATGCATTCAACCATCTCTATCCAAATATTCTCGAAATAGCTTTTCCCTCCAGGGTTCTGGAGCTGATGGATATTCTGTGGATATCCATAATAGTTACCCTCTTCTCCTTGTATTCTCCCTCGCTTTTTCTTATTTGGTCTGCATCTCAGCTACCTAGACTTGAAATATTGGAGTCCTTGACAATTATAGACTTTCCCCGGCTTGTTACATTGGGTCTGGGGTTAAACTCTGTTCAGAGAGGGTGGGGTTTTTTGCATCTCTTACTATCACCACTAGCATGGCTCAGTTCCTCCTTACCTTGTTGACAGGGTCCCCTCTTGATTCTTGCCTCTTGGACACCCCCTGCTTTATTCTACCTTTGTCCTTCTGTTGTGGGATAAAGTACTATCTGCATCCTGCTCAAAAGCTGGTTTTTGTCCTAAACAAAAATCCCAAATGCTCCACTTTTCTCCCACTCAGAGTCTCTTTAGGTAGCTTCTGATTATCTGCGTCTATCATACTGGACTGACCAGCTGGATAAGTTGACTATCTTTGCACAAGAAACCACCACATAGCTTACCAATTAAAGCAACCAGCTGATGGTATTGAATTCCAAGTCTTTGGTCAGATGGGTGGGTCTGTGACCTAAGCTGGGCGCAAGGAGGTTTCCCCAGGCATCTGCACAGCTAGAAGGTAATAGCAGAGCTGAGTCATTGGACAGGGGAGACTAAGAGCTTCTCTGCTGTCATAAACCTACTGCCATATGATGGTGGACTTCCCTCCTTCAAGTGGACTGAAAAGACTCATATTGTTCATAGGGTCAGTATGAGCGTAGTTGACTCAATGGCCCCTAACATCAACAGCGGCATTTCTTTTGGTCAAAAAATCTATTTACCCATCATCCTCACTATAAATTCCAAACAAATTAAAACTTTTGGTTTAACTTTCAGTTGGAAATCAGCCAAATGGATCCAAAAAGGAATCATCCACATACCTTTTTACCTTTCCAGTGGGGGAAATGATCCCAGTTGGAATGGACACATTTGTGTGATCTATGCAGAATGATAGTGGTCTAGTGCTAAGGAGTTGTTTTCTCAACCCAACAGCAAGTGATTAGAATCCATCAGCTGCTCCACAGGAGAAGGATGAGTTGTCTTTAAACAGATAAATAGAGCCTCATTCTTGGGCATCTTCCAAGAACTATGTCTTGAGGTCCATTCAAGTACTTCTTGTAGCACAAATGCACAAGAATTGATGCCTTTGAGCTGTGGTGTTGGAGAAGAGTGCTGAACAACCCATGGACTGACAAAAAAACAAATATGTCTTTGAGAGAGTGTAGCCAGAGTGCTCTCTGGATGCAAAGATGATGAGGCTTCACCTCACGTACTTGGGGCATGTTGCTAGGAGAGGCTAGTCCTTGGAGAGGGACACGGTGTTCGGAAAAGTAGAGGGTTGTTGAAGGAGAGAAAGACTCTCAACCAGGTGGATTGACACGGTAACTGCTGCAGTGGGTCCTAGTGTGTCAGGAGGTGAGAATGGCACAGAATAGGACAGGGTTCACATCTGTTGTTCATAGTTTCACTATGCAACTCAACATACCTAACAACAACCTTGTATCCCGTAGAGTGATATGAGTAGAAGCCATAATATATCTGAGCTTGCAAAAGAAAAGTTTCCCAAACATGTATGAGAGGAATTCCTGGGGGGATCCTCCGACTCTGGCGGATTCTGTACAGTCCAGGAAGCATGGTTGAGTCTTACCAGCCAGCTGTCCTGTGACCATTTGCAAAGGCTGACCCATAACATGGCCTGGCCCACTGTGCAGTTAAAATGCAAACTAACTGATGGGCGTCCCACACCAACACCTAGATCCACAGGGGCGTCTGAGGTCCCTGATCACCCACCCTCACTGACCTAGGCTCAAGCCTGGACCTGCTAACGTGCCGTAGAGCAGAAGCCTGGCTTGATTTCCACAGGGCTCACCTAAGCTATGGCCTGATTTAAAAGGAGAGTTTCCAGACTTCCATCATTTACACTCATTGTCCCCACTCTGTCCTTTGCCAGCGCTGAATGGTAGCAAGGACACATTTATGTTGTGACTGTCAGCGTCCAGGATGGCCTCATCTCCATGGTGCCTCTGATGAATTCCAATGAAAGCAGCTCATACTCCATGGAAAAAAGCCCACCAGATACCAGTTAACAAAGGAAGAAGAGCGTTAGGGTTGGTGGTGGTAGAGGTGGAAGGAATAACATTTTTAGGAAACTAGTAATCTTTTCCACAAAGAGCTGCTGTTTCTTAGTCTTCTGGAGGAAATATTTTTTTCCTCTACACTGTTGGTGTCATGATGCATTTGTGTTAATCATTTGTGCCTTGTCATTGTTCATATCAATATGTACATTGTTATTAATAATAATAATGATTAATAATGCTAATAATTCTCTGTTTGCTAAAATAACACAGAATAATTACTACTATTTGTAATTCTGTTTTCCTTCCAATTGGCTGATTCAGCAATCTTTTACGGAAATGGCAATCATCTTTGTCTACTGTCAAGAGCAAAAGAAAGCTCCCACTGCAGACAAGTTTACCCAATGTTCAAAAATCATGGGTAGAAGGAAAATTTTGAACCCACAGCAAGTAGCCCCAGGTCCTGGTTAGAGCTCAGTGACTGTGGCCTCGCCAGTAACCCCTTTTTTACCTCTTGATAATGACTTGAGTATACATTTTTCAGGAGCTCTGTTTGTTGTTGTTACGTGCCATCTATTTGCCTGAAACTCATAGCAACCAGCTGTACAGCAGCTCTGAAGCCTGCACTATCCTGAGCCAGTCTCATGGATTCCTATACACCTATCCCTATTGTCCTAATTACTGTATCAATCCCTCCCATTCAGGGTCTTCCTCTCCTGCAGTGTTCCAGCACCCTTGTGAGCATGATGTCCTTCTCCAAGGACTGGTCTCTCCTGGCCACATGCCCTAAGTATGTAAGATAGAGCTTCAAAATCCTAGCCTCCAAGGAGAAACTTGGTTTCACCCTCTCCAAGACAGACCTATTTGTTCTTGCGGTCTACAGTTTCTTCAAAGATCTCCAGCATCACAACTCAAAGGCATTGATTCTTCTTCTGTCATCCTTAGTCGTTGTCCAGGTCTCTGATGCCTCGCAAGTAATTGTGGAGACTATGGCTTGGATCAGGTGCACCTTAGTCTCTAGACTGACGTCGTTGCTCTTCAGTACTTTAGAGTGGTCTCTTACAGCAGACTTTCCCATTGCAATACGTCTTTTAGTTTCCTGGTTGCTGGTGCCAAGAATGTTCATTGTGGACATGGGTCATATAAAAAAAAAAAATAGGCACAAGGTAATAGTCCCAGCATAATTCAAACTACTTTCACATAGATGCAGAAGCCCTGGTCGTAGAGTGGTCAGAGCATTTGGCCCCTAACCAAAAGAACACCAGTTCAATCCCATAAATACTCCATGGGGGGCGGTGATGAAAGAAACAGTCTGTGTCCATGAAGGTGTACAGCTTTGGAAACCCTAGCACCACTCTGCTTTGCATATATCTGCATTGACTCGATGGTGATATGTTTCATTTTGGGGGTTCACTTAGATGTACATTGAGAAACAGGAGATTAACGTGACCCACAGTTAAAACACTACCACAGTATGGGGGTCAAGTTGTTACAGGTAAGGTTAATTAATTTTTTTTTTCAGAGGACCAGAATATACTATGAAGTGTCCCGGAGGAAATAATTTCCTAAGAATAATTTGGAGAGGGAGTTTATTCATCTCACCTTGGTGAAAAAAAAAATCAACTGCAGGAAGTAGCATAATTTATTCCTTTTGAGGAAAATTTCCCACCCTAGGCTGGGAAGCTGCTCACTGAACTCCCATAAAAAACCACTATCAAAGTGTCTACCTGCTAGTATGAAAATAAAGGAGCCCTGGTGATATGGTGTGTAATGTGACGAGCTGCTAACTGAAAGGTCAGAGGTTTGAATCCCCAGGCAGCTGTGCGGGAGAACAGCGGAGCCTGTTCTCTCTGCTTCTCACCCAGGAGGCAGCCAGAAGCTCCTGGCAATCCTGAAGAGCCTCAAATCTTCCTTCTCTGGGCTGCAGCACCAACAAAACCTTTGCCCTTGATTTAAATATTTCATGGGTACTAGGAGCCCCGCTTAGAGAACGGAACAAAACATAACAGGTGCTGGAGAAGGATGAATTATCAGCCCAACCAAATGTGTCTTTTTCCCTCCACTAATAACCTGGTAATCACCACTGAAGGGGGTTTTCCTCTTCACCTTGATGCTGTCTGCTCTGCACCTGGGGGGACAGAGCTGGGGGTGGGGAGAAATGACATGTTTTGCTTTCTCCCAGGCCCAGTGCTGTGCCAGGGGGCTGGGAGGGAAGGGACCCTGCGGGCTGACTTTTGCCAGCAGTTTGATGCTGCCCCTGCTCTGTTTTCAGGGGCGGTTCAGAAGCAGGAACAAGATGAAAGGTGTTTCTCCGCCGAGGTGTTGACAGCGCCTGAGGATGCTGGGAGGCTCGCTGTCAACCCCCCAGCAAATCCCAGCCCCAGCCCCGGGAGCCCGCTGGAGCACTTTCATCCTTCATTAGCCCAGTTACCTTCCGAGGAAGAAGGAGTAAACAGGCTGCGAAGGGAAATAATGAGACTGACAAAGGAACAGGCAGACGCAGAACTGGAAGGGGACTGCAGGGAGGGTCTCAAGAAGGGTCAGCAGGATGAGCCCGGGCCACCTTTGCAGGGCCTGGCCTCCCTGGGAGCGCACCCCAAATCCTGCCCAGACACCTCCTCTGAGCCCAGCCAGCCAGCGCCTCAAGATCTCAGGCCAGAAGATGCCGCTGGGACCCCAGAGGGTGGAGGCCTGAGAAGTGCCCCGAAAACATGAAAGGGAAGAGGGTAAGAGGGATGGGGACATGATGACAAGTGGATGGTTCAAAGGACAGTGGGGAGGCCTCAGAACACCACGGAGCGCTAACACGCCTCCAAGCCTGAGAGGGAGAAGCCCCCGCGTCCCGCTGCAGACTGGAGGCCCTGCAACAGCCTTGCAGTTTGATTTATTAAATTGGGGTCTCCAGCTTCCCTGTGTCATCCGTTCCTGCTGCAGACACACGCTGCCCTGAACCTGGCGAGGCCTGGGAATCGCGCCCCTCCACCATATGGCCGCGTCTCCACATCCGTCTTTGCTTGTCAGCATTTTTATTAGAGATAAGATGTTTTTCTATTAGCGCTTAATGTTGTCGATCAAAATTATGGGAAGAACTCTAAACGGAGGGGGTGATTTGTCAAGCCCGCTGATGATGGAGCAGAATGGGAACAGGGGGACTTAAGCTTCATGGTCTCAGGGCCCCCCAGGACCCAGGCCCACGTGTGCACTGTCAGTGTCCCAGGCCACCTTAGAAGGGTCTGGGTTGAGATCCACAGCCTCTGATGAGGCCTGTTTGCTGACTGTCAAGGCTGAGTTTTCCAGCCTGAAATTGGGAGAATTAATTGAGCTAGAGCAACTGGCGGCTGAGGCCAGAGCGAGCTGACAAGCTAACTCAGAGTCTGCTCAAGTCCAGCAGCTTGGATCCACCAGCTGGAGAAACACGGTCAGTCTCTACCTCCTGGCTATTTAAATTCCAACTCGGAGCCACTGAGAGGGAAATTCCTCAGAGCTCACCTTCACCTCGTGAGGATGTAAATCCCAAGAGAGATTGCCCAGATTTCTCCATCTGAGCTGCTGTTGTTGTATAGTATACCCTGGACTCAGGACAGACCCATAGCTGACCTTGTGGGCAGGATTTCAGAGGCAGTTAATCACTCAGGAGGAGAGAGAAGTTTCCCAAACACACAGGAGAGGAATTTGTGGGGAGATTCTCCAACTTGGGTGGAGGCCACGCTGGCCAGGATGCAGGGTCGAGTCTTTGCCAGCCAGCTGCCATGTGACTATCTGCTTCTTCGGTGGAGCAGCTAGTGGCCTCGAACTGCATACCTTCGGGTTTGCAGTGCGGCTTCTTGCCACTAGGTCATCAGAGCTCCCTAGCAGAGCTGCCAGTGGATTTGAACTGCCAGAGAAGCGGCCCCCTTTGGGTTATAGCAGCAACTGGAAGGGGCTGAGTGAGAGTGACTGGGGAGGGGAGAAGGGAAGTCTGGATGGTGGTTGAGTGTTTTGTGTCCGAGATGAGATGGGAGTGGCGGTGGGTCTTGGATGTGGTGCAGGGGGGCCCTGAGTTACTGAGATTCCAAGCACAGCGGGATGACCTTCTACCCCTACCATTAGCTGATAATGGATCAGCTGTACCTCATAAGGACATTAGGTGACTGGAAAGGAGAGGAAGAATGTAAAAATGCTGTTCCCATCAACTTTCAACTCATGATTCATGCCCAGGCCTTTCTGGCCTAGCTGTCACTGCTTGGGGCCAATCCCATTTTCCAATCAACTCCCCTTCGCACATTCTACACAAACTGAAGGCTGCTGGGTGTGGGATCTCCAAAGACAGACCCAAAAAGACTCCGCTCATGGCCCAGAGGGGAGAGAGGCAGGAACACAAAAGAACTGTGTTACAGCAGATAAGGAGACCAGGGCAGTCCTCTGGGTGGGGGAAGCGTTACACCGTTCAGCCGCTAGCTGGAAGGTTGGAAGCTTGAGACCACACAGAGGTTGCTCAGAAGAAAGGTCTAGTAATTGCAAACCCTAGGAGGTACAGTTCTACTCTGGCACACTTGGGGGCGCCATGAGTCAGAGCCAATGCAGTAGACTTGGTGTTGACCCAGAAGTGGGAAAGGAGGGGCAGGGCAGGGCAGGGCCCGCAGGGCAGGGCAGGGCCCACCCCACTTGGCTCTTTCCTTTGGGGTCAGTGTGAGCTTTTCAAGGTAGCCTCTGGTGCTGCAGAAAATTGATGGACATCAAATGACAGCTCTTGTTTCTGAGCTGGACTCCATTTATCTTTCCAGGGAGGCCAGATCGGAAATCCCCAATGTTCTGACCACCCCTAGAACAGAATCACTTCTTTGTGAGAACCTCTGCTACAAAGAGAGGGAACCCCATCCCTTCCACCCAAGGGTGACTGGGGCTGAAAAGTCACCTAAAAATAGGAAGTTAGTCTCTAGACAGGGAGCTCTGGTTGCTTAATGATCAGGGCCCGCACTGCCAACTAACTCAACAGAACACAGTTCAAATCCACCAGCTGCTGCTTGGGAGAAGGCTCTCCTCCCTGTGATTTACAGCCTCTGAAAACCCACTAGGAGTTGGTTCTGACATGTTGGTACAAAACAACAATAACAGCCTTTGGATAGCTCAGCTGGTCTAACCCACAGAGAGCTGCACTGCTGAGTCAGTTCAGCTCTGCCAGCAGCTTCTCAGGAGCAAATTGGCAATCTAACGTGTGCGTCATTTAACAGAGTCCCCAGAACCCACCGGAAGGACAGCCACGAGTCCATTTTGATGGCAACATGATTGGGTTTTGTTTGGGTAGGGTTTTTGGTGGGTGGGTTTTGTTTTTGTTTTTTAAAGTCCTTGGGTGGTGCAAATAGTCAAGCGTCGGATTGGTGATTTGAACTCCCCTTAGAGGTGCTTCAGCAGAAAGGCCTGGTGATCCACAAGAACACTGTAAGTGGTTCTACTCTGCACACGTGAATCTGAATTAAGAGAACAGTGAATAATAATAGGAAGTTTATTCGAGACCTACACCTGTTGTTGTGACCCCTCCACAGGGACGACCTGCCTCGCACCCCTGTTTTCTGCCAGGTTTCCTCACTGAGTGACCTTCCTGCCTCGCACCCCCATTCTCTGCCCGGTTTCCTCACTGAGTGACCTTCCTGCCTCGCACCCCCATTCTCTG